AATTTTTTGAAGAAGGGTCCAGACCCGAAACGTCAGCTTTCCTGCTCCTCTGATGCTGCTTGGCCTGCTGTGTTCATCCAGCTCTACACCTTGTTATCTCAGATTCTCCAGCATCGGCAGTTCCCACTATCCCAAAATATGTGGATGAATGACATTTCCAATGCCCTATAGTAGGATGAAGGGGAAGTTTTGAACATCTCTGATTTACCTTGAACCACGACTCTTTAAATACCTGCTCTGACACCAGGACACCTGCAGAAGAGCAGGCTGTGCTTATCTGTGTAATGGAGCCATCTAGGCCAGGAGTGCTGGGTGTACCCTTAAAAAAGGTACTGCTGACAATCAGAAAGCCTGAGAATGGAGTCAGGAATCCCAGATTTGAGTCCTGGTCACAGTTTTTAAAAGGCTTTTGGGTCATTGAAACTCAGCAAAGATCTGACTCTAAATATCAAATGTTCAAAATGTTTCTTTGAATAACTGCTTCACAATTAGTTCACTATTCTGTGATCCAACAGTTCAAGAATGAGCATTTGATTCAGTAATTATTATGTGACATTAATCAACTGCACAAAATGGAAAACAGCAATGTAAATCTATACATGTAATGAGATAACCTAAAAAGTAATGTGATCCTTTGAACTTCTAGGGTGTTCATTTTAAAGGGGTTTCAGAAATTATGTAAAAAAAAAACCTGAAGGCTATTGTGCTACCCACCTTAAACAATGTTCACACCAAGGTGCATAGAACTCTACGATCCACAATTCATCACCTCCCGCCAATTGATTATCAAAGTTGCTATCGTTCAAGTCAAACGCATGTTGATTGTTTATTCGTCTACACTGTATCAAAGAATAGACAAATCTTGCTGATCTATTGAGAAGAGCTAACAATAAACTGGCGCTGATATTCTAGTTTTAACTTCTAAAATCTGATTAAAATATCAGGGGCTATTTGTGTATTTAGCACGTGCACAGTCACAGAGCGAAGCATTAGCCTTGTCGGTTATAAGCTGGAATTCTTTAAGTACACCTTCAAGTTTAGTTAGCAGACAATCCTCAATAGTAAGAGTCATTGTTTGGTCTTTACCACAACTATTTTGAGAGGATTTTTAAAATTCATTGAGAGGGTGTGGGCTTTGCTGGCTGGGCTAGCATTTATTTCCTATTCCTAATACCCTTGAGAAGGGGGTGCTAAGCTGCATTCTTACATCAAATGGACTGCGAAGTGTACCCACAATGCTGTTAGGGTGGGAATTCTAGAATCTTAAACCAATGACACTAAGGAGCAGCAATATAGTTCCAAGTAAAGATGGTGAGTGACTTGGAAGGGAACTTGCAGGTAGCGGTATTCCCACGTATCTACTATCCTTGTCCTGCCAAGTGGTAGTGACTGTGAGTTTGGAAGGTGCTGTCTAAGAAGCCATGGTGAATTTCTGCAGTGCCTCTTGTATATGGTATACACTGCACTACTGTACTTTGGTAGTGGAGGGAGCAAATGCTTGTAGATGAGATGCCAATCAAATGGGCTTCGTCTTGAATGGTATCGAACCAAAATCAGTATCTGTATACCACAGCAAATATAATCTGTGCAGTTTAATCTCAGGAACGAGGCTGGGGTAGTTTACTTAGTGTACAGGTTGAACAGGGTTAACAGTGGGGTAGCTCATCCATTGTTTTCTGCCAGGCGCTAGTCTTGTCTTCCATATGAACCCTGAACTGTCTATGCCAGAGTAGCCAGTTCAATAGTCAGCAAACCAGGAAAGGAGGACTCTTGAAGAGCTGATGAATCAGTCAAGTACCAAACAGGGCTATATGTTACAGGAAGATCAAGTTAAGTTGCCTGTTTTTAAAATTCCTTTGAGGACCATTGTTAAAATGTTAATATGAGTACTTGATCGCAAGAGTTTTTCCTTGCTGAAAACGCACTTGGTCCATTTTTAAGATGTTCTCCAAGTATGGCTTGATCCACTATAGGAATGGACAGTCTACTATCTTGAAGCATATAGACGGCAGGAATATTGGTTGATAGTTTGGCAATTTTGACTTTTTGGTTGGTTTGGAAGGTTAATAAATTTAGTTGTGCTCGAATTTTGGTCGTGTTCCCTTGTATATGTCCTAGGGATAATCGGTTGCAAGGAATGTGTGCTTTTGGTTTGGAAATATAACAATACTCAAATTAGAAAAGCTGCTTTACCCCTTCATTGGGATGATGGTGTCATTGGTTCAGCCAGCATTTATTTACCAACATTTATTGGCCTGGAAAAGGTGGTAATGAGCTGCCTTTTAGAAGTGCTGTTCTCCGAGAGGGATAGGGACACACTTAATGCTGCTAGGAAAAGGGGTTCTAGGATTTTGACCTGGTGACATTGAAGGAACAGCAATATAATTCAAAGTGAAGATGATGTGTGAATTGGAGGGAACTTGCAGGTAATAAACGTTCCCATGCATCTGCTACCCTTGTCCTTCTAGGTGGCAGAGGTTTGGAAGGGGCTGTTCAAGGAGCTTTGGGGAGTTACTGCAGCACAGTCCACACTACTGCCAATCTGCGCTGTTGCTGGAGGAAGCGAATGTTGACAGTGGTGAATGGGGCGCCAGTAAAACAGACCGTTTTGTCCTGGATATGTTTGACTTGCAACAATCACAAACCATTGTCCTTTGTGTTACGTATAACTTTAACCAGCCCTCCCGATTCCCACGACTACACTTTTGCTAGGGTTCTTTAATAATATATTCGGTCAAATGTGGCCTTGATGTCAAGAACACTTACTCCTGCCTTTTGTCCATCTTTCTCCAGTGACTCTGATCTCCATAATTATGAAGTGCTTCAAGAGGTTTGTCACGGCTCACATCAATTCTAGCCTAACAAACTGCCTTGATTCTTTGCAATTCACCTACTGGCACAATAGGCCCACAGCAGACACCATCTCCCTGGCTCTACATTCATCCCTAGAACATCTGGATAACAAAAATACCTATTTAAGACTCCTACTTATTTACTACAGTTCCGCCTTCAACACCAAAATTCCAAACAAGCTCATCTCTAAACTCCAAGACCTAGATCTCAGCTCCTCCCTTTGTAATTGGGTCCTCGATTTTCTGACCCATAGGCTGCAATCAGTAAGAATAGACGACAACACCTTCTCCACCATAATCCTCAACACAGGAGCCCTGCAAGGTTGCGTACTCGGCCCCCTACTATACTCCTTATACGACCACAACTGTGTGGCCAAATTCCACCCCAACTCCATTTACCAGTTTGCTGATGATACCACCATTGTCGGTTGGATCTCAAACAATGACGAGACAGAATATAGGAAAGAGATTTAGTGCTTAGCAACATGGTGTAAAGCCAACAATCTCTCCATCAATGTCAGCAAAACAAGGGAGCTGGTCATTGACTTTAGAAAGTGGAGTGGAGGGCACTCTCCCATCTGCATCAATGGTGCAGAGGTGGAGATGGTTGAGAACGTCAAGTTCCTGAGAGTGATGATCACCAACAATCTGTCCTAGTCCAGCCACACTCGACGCAATGGTCAAGAAAGCACAACAATATCTGCACTTCCTCAGGAGGCTAAGGGAATTTGGCATGTCCACAAGGACTCTTACCAATTTTTATAGATGCATCATAGAAGTATTGTGTGGCAACTGCTCTTCCCAAGACCGCATGAAATCACAGAAAGTTGTGAACACAGTCCAGTCCAACACACAAATCAGCCTTCCATCCATTGACTCTATCTATACTTCTCGCTGCCTCGGGCAAGCAACCAACATAATCAAAAGTCCCTTCCCACCCCAGTTACACCCTATTCAGTCGGGCAGAAGACATAAAATTTTGAATACACATACAAATAGATTCAGGAACAGCTTCTTCCCCGCTGTTATCAGAGTTTTGAATGGGCCTCTTAAATGATTGATTGATTTATTGTCACATGTACCAAAGTTCTGTGAAAAGCTTTGCTAATGTGCAGTACAGGAAGGTCATGGTAAGCAAGGATGTACAGATCAAAAAGACTTAGACAGAGACATACAGGTTACACTGCACAGGGCGTGTGCTAGGTGAGATCAACGTTAGCAAGATCAGCATTATTTGAGGGTAGAAAGTCCATTCATCAGTCTAATAATGACTGGGAAGAACCTGTTCCTGTATTTGTTGGTGCGTGTGTTCAGGCTTCTGTATCATCTGCCTGACGGAAGAGGTTGTAGGAGATGATTACCAGGGTGCGACGGGTCTTTGATGACGTTGGCAGCCTTTCTGTGGCAGCAAGCCATGTACATGGAGTCCATGGATGGAAGGTTGGCTTCTGTGATGGTTTGGGCTGCGCACGTCACCTTCTGTAGTACCTTATGGTCCTGGGCAGAGCAACTGCCATACCAGGCCGTTATGCACCTGGATAGTATGCTTTCAATTGTACTTCTATAGAAGTTGGTGAGGTTGGTGAGGGTCCTTATGGGCATGCCAAATTTCCTCAGCCACCTGAGGAAGAAGAGGCGTTGTTGTGCCTGCGGTTAATTCTGATCTTTCTACCTGCACCTTCTCTGTGGCTGTAACACTGTATTCTGAACTCTCTTCTGCTACCCTGATGTATTTTGCAGGTACGATCTGCCTGTATAGCACACAAAACACCACATTTCACTGGACCTTAGTATATGTTACAACAATAAATCAATCAATCTTTTAATCTATGCTGTAATGTCATAAGGAGAGGTCCTGGCAGAACCCAAACTGAGTGTCATTGAGCAGGTTATTCCTTTGCAAATGTTGCTTGACAACCCCTTCCAAGACTTTGCTGATGATTGATAGAAGACTGATAAGGTGATGACTGTTGGGTTGGATTTATCTTGTTTTGTTATGTATAGGACATATTGGGCAATTTTCAGGTAGTCATGTAGATGCTATTATTGTGGTTATACTGGAACAGCTTGGTAAGGGTATAGCTAGTTCTGGAGCACAAGTGTTCAGTACTATTATTGGAATGTTGTCAGGGCCCATAGCCTTTGCAGTATCGAGTTTCTTCAGCACTTCTGACCCAAGACGGATGCAAATATCTGGCTTTTGTACTTATGTTCTTGGCTCCCCCATCATTGAAGGATGGATATATTTCTGGAGCTGCTTCTCCTTGTTGTTTAACTGTCTGTCACCATTCATGAATAAATGCAGCAGGACTACAGGGCATAGTTCTAATCCAATGGTGGTTGGATTGATTAGCCCTGACTACTGCATGCTGCTACTCCTGTTTAGGAAGCAAGTAGTCCTGTGTTGTAGCTTGAGGTTAATGCCTCATTCTTAGATATACCTGGTACTGCTCCTACTAATCCCTCCTGCACTCTTCATTGAACCAGTGTTGATCTTCTGAGTCGATGGTGAAGATATAGTGCAGATATGCTGGGCAATGAGTTCACAGATTGTGATTAAATTTAATTTCGCTGCTCCTGATGACCCACCACAATTCATGGATGACCAGTTTTGAATTGTTAGAACTGACTGAAACCTGTTCAATTTACTATGTTGCTACTGCCACACAATACAGAGGGTATCTTCAGTGTGAATACAGAGCTTCATCTCCACAAGGATTAAGAGGTGATCAATCCTTTTGATACTGTCAAGGATAGATGCACCTGCAATGGCAAGATTAGTATGGGTGATGTCAAATAGATTTTATCCAGGTTGTTTGGGGCGGGTGGGGGGTGGGTGTAGTTTGAGTGGTATTGGGTTAACAAGCTCCAGGGTAGTGGTACATGCTAATCCAGAAGAGGTTTTCTTGCCCATGTCTGACTTCATGTATTAGGCTTCATGGAGTCCTCAACGTTCACTCTGGACCCCTAGTGCAATTACATCTTGACTATATACCATTGTCTTGCAAACTCTTCCAGGTTCTGCTGCTGAGACAGGACATGCCTATGGATAGTGGTGTGGTGCTTGGACACTGTCTGTAAGATATGAATTTGTGAGAATGATGATGTTGCTTCACTATGGCTGTTGCTCGATTAGTCTATGGACAGCTCTCTCAATTTGGGAACCCGACCCAGATGTTATTCTGGGTGACTTTGTGGAATTGACAAGGTTGCATTAAGATTGCTGTGGGTCTGGAGTCACATGTAGAACAAACCAGGTAGTGTCTGAAGAACATTAGACTTTAGGTCTCATCAACAAAATGACTTTAGAAACAATCAGTAAAGGACTATTTGACTTAGCAAATCTGATGAGGTACAGTGTTGTCTATTAACTTCACTGGCTTATTTTCCCTAGGCTATCTGATATATAGATTGTCATGGAGTATACAGCAAAGTAACTGGCTAAAAGACCCAAATGTTTGTGCTCCATCCACATCCATCTTTATTTCACTCCAAGCCTCAATATGCATTCTTGACTGAGAGCTTTGGTGTCCACCAAAGTGCTGAAATACTTTGTGCTCCTGTCTGATTGACAGCTTTGGCTATCTGACACCTGTTGACAATTTCACAATATTTATTTACATATGGTTAAGTGGGATCAGGTACCGTGCAGCCTCACTTACTAAAACCTTAAAGGGGTCTGCATAATTGACAGTTACTGAACTGTAGTGAATTGAGTTCTTTTAACATAACAGATCGGCTGGGACCTTTTTCTACTGGAGTGAAGGAGGTTGAGAGGCGACCTTATAAAAATTTATGAAATAATGAGGGGTATAGATAGAGTTGATGGTAGTTGTCTTTTCCCTAGGGTGGGGGATTTCAAGACCGGGGGGGGGGGGGGGGCACTTTTTAAGGTCAGAGGAGAGAAATTTTAAAAAAAAACATGAGGGGCAAAATTTTTACACCGAGTGTGGTTCCTGTGTGGAATGAACTTCCTGAGAAAGTACTGGATATAGGTACTATTACAACCTTTAAAAGACAATTGGATAAGTACACGAATAGGAAAGGTTGGAAGGGATATGGGCCAGAAGCAGGCAGGTGGGACTAGTTTCATTTGGGATTATGTTCGGCATAGACTGATTGGACCGAAGACTTTGTTTCAGTGCTGTATGACTCTAAGTGGAAAGTCACTTCTTAGATACATTTGTAAACATATACAACCGTTACTCTATATATTGCTTCTATACAGTGTATAGTGGGTGAATGAACATGGAAGTGTCATAGCTCATCATAGTACGCAGTGGAGTGGGAGGAGGAACATAGCCTGACATGGGGGCATGATGGGATATGGGATTGTTTGCAAGTGCTACCTTGACATAGGGGCACATGGAAGACCTTTTGAAGTTACCTTACAAAAGGTTTCCTCATGCAGACCATAGCTCACAACATTTCTGAAATGCCATGAAAGAAAATCTTTTCAACATCTGAGCCAACTCAAAGATCTTGTGAAAGAGTAAAACATGCCTATTGCCACAATAGAGCCGGCCAGGTCAGGAGTGCTGGATGTGGGCTCTCTACCTGAACCAGCCTATACCTTTAAAAGGCACTACCGAAAATCAGAAAGCCCAGGAATAGAGTTGGAAATCCAAAAATGGATATTGAATGCCATTTTAAAAGGGCTCCTGATCAACTTGACTCAGCAAAAGTCCATACCTAGAACTCTGCATTGCATTCTAAGTGTGGCCTAGCCAAGGTTCTTTTACATTCAATTTAACTTACATGGCTGAAAATTCCCCCAGAAATTAAACCACGTGCTTTGATTTTTTATGGCCCATCAATTCTGTTACTTTTACTGCTCGGTTCCTTCGCTCCTCTCCTGACTTAGACACTTACTCTCCAAAAAATATATGACATCCCTATTATTCCTACCTATCTTTTCACACTTACATTTTCTTCATCAAAAATTATTCAACACTGTAGTGTTCAATAGTACATTTAGCATCAGTATAGAAGATATTTTAAAAATTTCTCTTAAGAAAATTAGAGATAAAGATAAAATTTTCGAATGATAATGCATAAATTTCAAAATAGTATTTTTCACCTGTCCTCCAGATCCACATAGATTGTCTTGTTTATTTAGTCTCTCCTTTACTATGAACCGTATTGAATTAAGGACTCCATTGGTAATGGCTGTACTTGACCTTCCTCCTGAGTAATCAAATTCCATGTTAGGCATTTTAAACTGAGCTACATTAAAACAAGTCTGCAAAATGTTTCTGATAATAAGTGTGTCAAAATAGCAACCATTATTAATAAAGAGTATTGTATACCATAATATTTTTCTGGCTTGTTCTTATTGGGCCCAAAGAACTTGATAGTGGGAAATTCTTCTATTTCATATTGATGGCCTATTGATGCATATTTAGTCACATCTATTGCACCAACTTTAACAATACCCTGTTCATGAAAAGAATTTTTTTCAAAATTTCAGTCTACACCATAAATTAAGTAAAAAGGAAGAAAAGTAACTAATCATACACTTAAGTGACCTAGTTATCCTACCTTCAAAGCAGTAGCTACATTATTCCATTCTGAAACAAACTGCTCACAATGTTCGCACCTGCAATACAAGGAGTTAGCAGCTACTGAACAGTACATATAAACATTTACAAAAACAGTTACGAAGTTCAAGGCCAACTAAGAAACAACTTACTTACCAATGAACATAGAATTTTACTAGCCAAAGTCTGTCACTCTGAATAACTTGAGAATTGAAATTTATTGAAGTTAATTTTATCACATTACTTGATGAGTAGAATGCATTTGCAGTCAAAAGGCATGTGCAGGCTATAATACCTGAAATGATAAAACATCAAGAATTGTAATCTTCAGAATCTGTTCTTACTTTCATCTTTGTAGTTATCTTGAAGTTGAAAACTACAGTTCAATTCAAGACAAGATACTCACAAAGAAATGCAATAGAAAATTTAGAAGAAACTTATCCATGTAAAGTGTGATAAGAATTTGGAACTTGCTACTCTGAGGAGCACTTGAAGTGAATAATGTAGATGCAGTTCAGGGGAAATTAAATGATTTCATAAGGGAGATGGTTATAATGATAGTTGGTCATCACATGAATCTATGAAGAAGCATGGTTGGAGCATAAACACCAACATAATCTGGATAGGCTGAATGGCCTGGTTCTGTGCCGTACATCCCATATATGTAGCAGACTGACTGGAAAGAGAAATGGCTATTCATAGGAAGTGACTATTACCCATGGAAAAGTTGCGTATTTTTCTATTCTTTCTCCCTAATTATTTTTAGACCTTCATCCCATTTAAGACCTTATTATTAATAATTGTTATGTATGGCAGAATCTAAAGTGTTACCGGATTTGAAACATCACCTCTGCTTTCTTCCCATAGATGCTGCAAGACCTGATGAATTTTGCCAACAATTTCTGTTTCTGTTTCAGAGTATAAAGTGTGCTGATTCTTTAAAAAAGGTGATAATGATGTGATTATATCATACTTTCAATTTCCACCACTGCCACCTATTTACACACAGCCCCTACTATTCCTGTAAAGTAGTAAGTGTCTAAATTTGCTAGGCTCTGATCAGGAAAGAAGGGATCAGTGTGAATGAGCCAAACAGTAACAGTAATAGACCTGAGGCTCTGTAGAATTCTTGGCCTGGATTTTGCATTACTACACATTCTAAAATATGGCAATATACTGGTGGTGGAAGAAAAAAAATGGGAATGGTAGCTTACCATTAGATGCCCTCTGTAAAACTGGCATAGGTAGTTTTCCTTCCTAATGATTCTCCCAGTCAGGGGTCTCAGAGGTGTTCTTGATTAATCCCCATGAACATGCATGAAAGCAGGGCTAGGAAAATCCATTGCAGTACTTGGCCTCAGCTAAGACTAGTTAATGAGTGGCAATAATGCCAGCAGTTGTAGCAGTAAGCTCACCAAAAGCTCTGGTTTAAGGAACAGGGCCTCCTTGTCACCATCTCCCTTCCTCTACCCCTTTACATGAAGTATTTTATTATAATTCACTCAGACATTTTTTTTCCAAGAATCTTCAGGTACTTCTGGTACATTGCTGCAAGTATACGACAGACACCCAGACATTAGTAGTAAACAGACGAATAAATATGTAGGCAAATTGCTAACATGTTCAGAAAGGGTCTGGACAGAATGAATAGGAAGTTGTTCCCATTGGGTAAAGATAAGAGAACCAGAGTGCACTAATTCAAGGTGAATGACAAATGAAGCCACAAAGACATAGGGAAAAACTTTTACACAGTGTGTGATTAGGATCTGGAGTGCACTGTGTCAGAGTGCAGTGGAGGTGGATTCAATTGTGGCTTCCAAAAGTGGATTGCACAATTATATGAGAACAAACAAGAGATTTACAGGGCTACAGAGAAAACACGGGTGAATGGGACTGAGCGATTTACTCTTGCGGAGAGTTGGCATGGACACAAGACCGAATAATCTCATTCTGTGTAACCATTCCATGTTGTTAGGGTTTAGCAAGAGGATGATTTGACAATGATTTGGCATTGACCCATTTTGGAGGCCATGATTAAACTTCATTTAAGACTAGTAAGACCTGATATTTTCCAGTATTGTGGCAGTAGTATATGGATAATTTACAGATTTGTTATGCTGTTTATGATTTTGGTCAAAGTTTTGATAGTAAATGGCTACACTTCCTGATCTGAACCTATGGCCTCCCCTCTAAGTGTCCCTTGAAGCCTTCTACACCTTGATCAAAATTTTTTCTGAAGAAGGGTCCAGAACCAAAACGTCAGCTTTCCTGCTCCTCTAATGCTGCCTGGCCTGCTGTGTTCATCCAGCTCCACACCTTGTTATCTCAGACTCCAGCATCGGCAGTTCCTACTACCTCTCTTGATCAAAATGTTGCTGTCTCAGTACAGATCCCAAATTCTCCCATCTCCTCCATTTCGAATGTCAACCATTTCCATCAGTGCAGGAGAAGTCTTAGGAGCCTGTGTGCAGTGTGAGAAATGTTGTCCGAGCCATCAACCCAAGTGCTGAACTTGCATTTCAGATTTTCATATGGTGCAACAGAGTCAGAAGGCTGTTTAAATCACACTGTCATAAATGGCATGGGAAGCTGTTCTAAAGGTTGGAGCATTTCTGGAAGGTGTGCAATTAAGCAGACCTTTGCATGAAAGTGAGTTGAAAGATTCTAGGAAAGTGCTCAAATTGCACACAGGAGGATGGAAGAGGCAGGGCTGACACCTGTGGCAATTTGGGCTAGTAAACTGTATAGGGCTAAACTAATAGAGCATAAGGCCATTCAGGCACAATTGTGCAAACTATCTCTAGGAATGAAGTTGCCATTGAAAATGGGTATAGTTTCATTGCACCTATATGCCATTGGAATAGCACAGTAGTAGTAGCTCAGCATGAGGAAGGGGTCCTGGACAACAAGACGACAGAAGTCAGAAACCAAGGAGGAAGACATATGATTACTCATAGCACAGAATCTACCTCAACATGCTTACCTACCTTGAAATATCTGAGCACCAGAGCAGGAGCAGATTGTGACTACCTGAGGAGATGGAGCACTAGGCCCTCTGTAATGATGATTTCTTAACACAAATTAGTCATTAATGGGTTTTGCCAGTGACACAGAAGGTGATAGTGACACGCAATTCCATAGCTATGGGCTCACCTCAGGGTTCTTCTGGTCTATGGTATCTCTCACTTGGTGGACCACTGCTGCATCCATGTTGTCACAATTTCCCTCTTCCTAATTGTGGCTGACTTTACAAGCTTCCCAACGGAGGTGGCTTCCCAAGTGCAGCATGTAATGGGCTTTTCCACAAAAGCCAGAATTTCCAAGGTGATGTTGAACTGCATCCATGTTGCTCTTAAGACAAGACAGGCCTGACAGATTCATGAACAGGAAGGCCTATCATTCGTCATTGTGCAGTTGGTGTGTGATCACAGAAAGAACTTGACATCCATATGTTTTCCACATTGTTGCCACAACACTCTCCTATTAAGAAAGTCAAGCCTGCCACAGCTCTTCCACCCCAACCTCCCAGTATATGGATTCCAGACGTCAAGGCTACTCATTAAGTTGGTGGTTCCTTACACCCCTGCAAGATTTACAAACAGAACCCCAAAGCCGCTACCACGAGGGCAACCTAGATCAGGGCCATGTCCATAAGAACCCTCAGCAACTTTTACAGATGCGCCATAGAAAGCATTCTAGCCAGGTGCATAACAGCTTGGTACGACAACTGCTCTGCCCAGGATGGTAAGAAACTACAGGAAATTGTGTGCACAGCCCAGGCCATCACAGAAGCCAACCTCCCATCCGTGGGCTCCATTTACACTTTGCGTTGCTGTAGAAATGCTGCCAATATCATCAAAGACCCCTCCCAGCCCTGTAATATTCTCTTCCAACCTCTTCTGTCAGGCAGAAAATACAGAAGCTTGAGCACATGCACCAAAAGGTTCAAGAACAACTTCTTCCTTACTGTTATTAGAACGCTGAATGGAACTCTCTAATTTCAAATCTAGTGTTGATCTTGCTTTGTGCACCTCCTGTGCAGCTGTTACCTTGTATGTCTTGCTATGTCTAAGCACCCTATGATCTGAATGTCCTTGTTTGCTATGATCTGCCTGTACAGCTTGCAAGACGAAACTTTTCACTGTACTCGGGTACATATGACAACAATAAATCAAATTAATCAATGGTCAGGACTGTCAATTGCCAGAACTCAGGCCCAAGATGAGGTTTTGATGCCTTGACCACTCTGATGGAGATCCTCATATAATACACTGTGGAGATGGGGTGTCTCCCATGCTGCATGATGCACAGCATGGCACAGCCAATTATAGTGATTGAAGACCACAACGTAGTGAAGGCACAAAATCAAAGAATAAGGAGCAAGTGGCACAGTGGCTCAGTGGTTAGCACTGCTGCCTCACAGTGCCAGGGAGCCGATTGCGATTCCAGCCTTGAATGTGGTTAGTTTTTACGTTCTCCCTGTGTCTGCATGGGTTTCTGCTGGGTAATCCAGTTTCCTCCCACAGTCCAACGATGTGCAGGTTAGGTGGATTGGCCATGCTAAATTGCCCCAAAGCATCCAGGGATGTGCAGGCTATGTAGGTTAGCCATGATAAATACAGGGTTACAGGGATAGGGTGGGGGGGGGGGTAGTGGATCCGAGTGAGATGCTCTTCAGAGAGTCAGTGCAGACTTGCCGAATGGTGTTTTTCTGCACTGTAGGGATTCTATGATAACACAAGGGAGTAATGCGGCTAAGCAACTCAGACAGGACATTGGTCAGGCCTAGGAACTAGGAGAGGGATCCATGCAGACACCAATATCTGGAAAATATACACATATGTATGTGAAGTTCTTTCTGCGGTCACACACCAGCTGGACATTGATATCAGCTGAAAGTCTCTGAGTGGTTCAACATTAAAGACAAAGCTGGCATTACATCAGCATGAATCCTTTAGAAGGATGCCAACACCCATTCAGAATTCTATTACCACATGAATGTCTATTATGGCTGCAGTCTCCATAGGCACTGGTGAGTACCAATTGGAATACCTGTATATAGTGAATAGTCTTGACATTGATTTGTAAAGAGATACTAAACAAAATAAACAGTTACTTTAAATCATGGGTAAAATAAATTATTTACAGACTCCAGGTAGTTCTCATTTAACCTTGTTAGTTCTCATGCTGAGACTTTAAGTGAATCATTGATTCTTTTGGGAACCTATGTTGGAGCCAGAGTTAGGCTCCATCAGACATTTTTTTGCCCAGAGAAATATTGTACTGTACACGTGCAGCACTGTGCATTCCTTGCTGAAATGACTTGAAAAATAAATTACTGAATATAACAGAAATACAACAGATACCAAATTAATATAAATGTTTCAATCCAAATCCCACAATTTTAAAACCTTACAGCAGTACTGAATTTGTTACTAGGGGAGCAGATCTGAACCAAAGCTATTCAATCATTCTTTCTATAAATTATATGAATGTTGGTGTAACTTAATTTCTATAATATGTCCATGGTATTCCCCAGCTGACTCCTCTGGCTTCAAAATACTCACTTTAATTGTTATACCAGAAATAGCTCACATGTACATACCATGAGGCTAGTAGAGTATCCTCGTGGATTTTTCAGTATGAAACCTGGGCCATTTTAATTCTTGGGTCTTAACTGAATTTACCTGTATTACTTCCACCCTAAAACCAACAGAAATTACAACAGCCAGAAATTGAGCTGAGCCTGTCTATGACTGTTGGCCTTCTCATAATTGGTAAATTAAGATCAGGTCCCAACTTCAGATGACACGGACATAGGATGATGCATTAATGTATGACATAAATCAGAAATACCAACCTAACACGAGGAAACAGACCCTAAAAATATCCAAGCAAAATGATGCTCAAAGGACAATGTTAAAAGAGGACTACCTGCATACAGATAAGAAATCACACTGGCCAAATGTGCCTTGCAAACATGAACACTCTAGGACATGCTCCCATTGTGGCCTTGGAGGTGGAGGAGGTGGACTGCTCATGTCTACAGCTTGGGCACTGTGTGGTCTGAGGCAGTCAGCTTTGTCATGCAGAGACCTGTTGAAGTTCCTCTTGTGACAATGCTGCTGTATCTAAATGGTGCAGCTGTTGTCACTGGGATCTGAACCATAGATTCTTTCTCTTATCAGATAAGCTGAGGATGATGAGAGTCACACCAGCTTTGTGGAATCCTCATCATTCTCTTAAGCATCCTTGGCTTTTGGTCAGGTTTCTCACTGGCTTGAAGCAGTCTGTGCTGGGGTACAGGTGGCATTCCTTACAGCCATATTTGGGGCACCTGTGCATGAGACCTGTTCAGGGTCTGCAGATCCTCACCTACTCAACGGACATCCATGCTCAAGGTCTGAACTGACCGGTCCAAGCTACAAAAAGAGCAATGCACCCTGTACAGAACATCACGCATGCACTGCTGGTGCCATGGGTCACTCGATGAGGCTGACCATTTTTTCAAGGGAGGAGAGCTTGCACTCAAAGTCCCAAAACATGGCTAAGCTCAGTTACTCTACAGAATCTTCCCTTTACATGGCATAAGATCATGCACCATCAGAGATTTTTGAATGATGCCCACACATCTATCTATTGTTATTGCTCCAAGAACTGAGCTCCAAAGAGTGACTCCTGAGGCCTTTCCCACTGCTTGGTGGAACATAGAACATAAAACAGTACAGCACAGTACAGGCCCTTCGGCCCATGATGTTGTGCCGAACTTTTACCCTAAACCTAAGGTATATCTAACCTCCACCCCTACCTTATACTATCATCCATACGCCTATCCAGTTGCCACTTAAATGCCCCTAATGAGGCCGACTCCACCACCCTCTCCAGCAATGCATTCCACGCCCCGACCACTCTCTGAGTAAAGAACGTCTGACGTCTCCCCGATATCTACCTCCAATCACTTTAAAACTATGCCCCCTCGTAATAGCAACCTCCACCCTAGGAAAAAGTCTCTGCTGTCCACTCTATCTATACCTCTGATCATTTTGTACACCTCTATCAAGTCACCTCTCATCCTTCGTCGTTCTAAAGAGAAAAGCCATAGCTCTCTCAACCTTTCCTCATAAGACCTTCCCTCCATTCCAGGCAACATCCTGGTAAATCTCCTCTGCACCTTTTCCAACGCTTCCACATCTTTCCTGTAAAGAGGCGACCAGAACGGGTCACAATACTCCAGATATGGCCGAACCAGGGTTTTGTATAGCTGGAGCATAACTTCACGGCTCTTGAACTCAATCCCTCAATTAATGAAAGCGATGGAGTGTTACTGGGATCGCTGTCTCTCCACCAAGGGGGATTGTCCTCACATGTATGCCTCAAATGTCTGTTTCTTCACAATTGTGATGTGCTCCTCATGCAATGTCACAGACTCCTATAAATAAGCTGGAAGTCACCAAGATGGACATATAGGTGACAGTGTCTGGTGTTCTAGTTTGACGTGATGCTGCATTCTTGAACATGACTTCATTCTGTTGATGTTGGAGGGATTTTGTGGCTCACAGGGATGATCATACACCACTAGGTCCTGTGTGAGGTACAAGAAAAGGTCATGAAGGGCAGGTATACAGATTCTGCAATTTCCACAATGATGGGGGTATCCACACTACTAAGTGTGCTGTCAGACTAGAATTTCAGCGGACTCTTTGCACCACCCACCTCCTCCCACTCACTGGCATCATGCCCCCATCAGCTTCTCATCCAGCAACATGGAATGGGAAATCACTGTTAACAACAATTTCTTGCAGTGGGATCTTGGTTATGTTCTTTGCCTCTCAACCTAAATAGGCCTTAGACTTTGCCATCTCACAGGTGTTGCATGCCTACTTCTCCTGCAAGGACAATAGGGAGGGATTATGGAAAGACAGAGAAGGGCGGCTCCTATTTGTGGTTTGAGACATCATTTACACATCAGTGGGGGATCCCCTATGCATTGGACACTAAACCATTGGGCACAAACTCTTCCAAATTCAAAAGGAGCTATATTCTCACTGTGTTCTCTAGCTGCAGTGTGCGCGGTTGGATATAATGAACAACTGAGTGTCCTACTAATCTTTCTAGAGTGCAATAGGTGATGAAACCTCTTTTGACACTGCATTCATGTTCAGCAATGTTCCCTAGAAGCGCTCACCACCTCAGCTCTCTCACCAAGGTAA